CGATATTTCAGTGTATCAATATTTTCTTACACCCCTATTATTTACCCAGTTCTTGAGCTTGAGCGAGCAACTTCTCAGATTCTGCTCTCCTCTCCCCTCTCTTCTCAAGCTGAAATAGAAAAACAGCAATAAGTGACGGCAGCCTGAGTGCGTTTTAATTCACGAGAAATAAACTCCAGGTTCACGCCGACCTCTGCTGACTTGAGCTGCGGGGGCTTTCCGTCAAAAACGTACACGGGCTTGATGCCGTTCTCCAACATACGGATTGTTCGGTAGAACATTCCCATCAGGTGGCTTTGAAAACAACAAATGACCCAAAATCAGAACGACTGCTCCAAGATTACAAAACAGTCYTCTTTAATATATATTCACTACTGTTGACACACTGTACCTGGTCGTCTCTCCRTCTTCATTCTGCAGAACGTTACCATCCTGTCGCACGGCAATCAGGAACTGGTAGATACACATGGAGGCATCAATGGCAATTTTCCTGCCTGTTTATAAAAAAAGAAACATTTTGTAAACAAATTAAACTCTTTAACAGAACAATGATACAGATATGCTTATATTTACATCACATGGTCACATAATCCTGCAAAGTTACATACAGCTCATCTTTATGAGGAATGCACCCTTTACTCCTGTCACAACAGGCAATTAAATATAAATGCAAACAGACTCATAATCTATACATTTCCTTCTGCCTAAAAGCAGCCAAAGAGGAGACCGTGATAAATGTCCACAGGACTGAGGTACTAAAAGCAGGAATAAAACTGTGTCAGGCTTTAAGAATGATTTAAAAATGTGTTTTAACTTCACTGTACTCAGGGATGCATTAATATTTTATTGCAGTGTGTTAAAGCTAATGAGTTTCCTGATATCAAGATGATCCAGGGATCAAAACGTAGCTTAAAAGCCAGGAAAAGTATACTTAAATCATTTCGACTAAATTTGACTTAATCCTCAGTGTTGTATGACGGGTCACATAACAGTTATGTTCACACTAGGGTTAGGCAATATTGGCAAAAAAATTCATCACGATTAATTGTGGTATTTAGCCGATGACGATTAATCCCCTGGAGTCCCTGGACCACTGCATGCCCTAGTCAAATGATCATTTTAGTGGGAAAGATTTGCTCTTCATAAAAATCTGTTCCAAATTGTGTCAAAATTACAGACTTCAGGCTTTACATCAACTTTTAAATTGTGTTGATAATGTGAATTAATTACAGAACTTTTTCCTTTTTAACGTTTGCATTATTTGAAGCGGAGAGGAGCACCGAGTGGACTGATGGTGGCATTAATCGTATTAATCGTCAAGTGCCAAAAAGTAATCGATTAATGTTTTTTCTGACGATTAATTGCAGACGATATGATTTTGCCCAACCCTAGTTCAYACATTTCTTTATATTTAAATATAACAGAATAAGCACATTTTCCAAGCCACATAACAGTTTTTTCTGCACAAACCTGACATTAATGACTGCAGAAATCTGATCACAGTAACAATACGACACTCCTGGAGTTTTCAGTTTATGAACTAGATACATATGTATGAACTAGATACATATGAATTTATCACAGGGAAGTTGGAATGTTWTAAAGTGTTTGCATGAGGTAGTCCCTCAAAATGTCCACCATCTTTAAAAGCATGTATTGTTACTGCTCCTCGTGCTCCTAAAGGATGAAAACCTGACAAATGAAGGTCGACTAGTTAAGTAAACATTGTGCTTCGGTGAAGATTTTATTTGAACGTAAAATGAAGTGTGTCAATTACCAAAGTAGTTCTTTATRTCTTGCTCTTTGATGGCTCCAGGTGCGTGGTCAGCAATCAGCTTGGCTAATCCGTGTATTCCCATCGTGACAATATATCTGGTAAACAGTTAAATGAAAGTTACTGCAGTAGCGTCAAGTTTTAACTAGGTAACAGTGTCGCAGACATACAACGAATGCAATGTTTACAACATGCTTAGCTATAGCTACAAATGCGCACTGGGTTAGCTAACGCTAACACCATCTGGTGGCAACACCAGTAGCAAACAGCGGTTACCGACGGTGCTAACGGGGAGTGCCGTGTTATGTTAAGCAGCTATAAATATTTCTAAAGTACTYACAGTTAGGAAAAAGTGCACTACAGATTTCCAATCGCTTTTTTTCGGCGTCTCAAGCGGGAGCGCACGTTCGTTTCGCGGGAAATGAAATTGCAGACGTTACATATCAATAATCGAACACCTCGATCCGCCACACGCCATTGTAAACGTGCTCATCTATGTTTCCGGTGCATTTACATTGGTCTGAGTAGGAACGCGGAAGCTGTGCGACGACATTTGATTGGTTCGACGAGTCYGAAGGAAATCCGGTTCGTTCAGAAAAAATAGTAGTCGCTGTGCTACGAGCTCAAAACGTTCAAAATTGTGGTTTTCTGTGCTTTTAAGCCACGTAACTGACATTTAGGTGAAAAAGGTCAACGACGGAAAGCTTCCGGTAACGTTGCATGAGTTTTTTAAATTTTTTTTTAATGTTTAGTTTGTTTCTCCGCCCACCCCGGAAAACTGAAGTCGTCGTTATCTTTATTTTATAAGGTGACGTGTAGCCGGAGCTCTGCTTCTTCTGCACCGTGTGGCAGTAAAAAGAAGTACTTTGTGTGTACCCGGATATGAACCCAGTGGATTATTAATACTCTGCGTCCAGGATGTCCACGGTGTTTAGTTGAAGGTTGCGGTTCTCCAGCGAGCCCCCCCCCGCCGCCTGTCGACGGACAACCGGAGCGGAGGGGACCGTGCGTCGGGGCCTGGAGTCCGAGGAATCCGGCGGGCGGACAGGTAYGGTGGGTTCTGAAGCGACAAGACTGGTACTTCCGATTTTATAACTCATATTTGTGCATGTTTCCTACAACGAGTCTCTTGTAAACAAACAGTAACTAGTTTGTGTCTGCCCTTTCCTTATAAACTGAACTCCAGGAATTATACTGCTCCATTTTCACAAACGTCCAAAGATTTGAACTCTTGGAAAAGATTTTATCAGATTGCAAAGAAGAAAACATTAAACAGGAGGAAATAGTTTACATTGCATTTACACTGGATGGACCCTAAATGGTACTTATTGCAATGTTGTTAAAACAAAATCCAATTATTTTTCTCACAAATGGCTAATGTGTCTTTAAATTTAAACAAAATGTAAAAAGTACTTTCAGGTGATACTTAAGTCTGACACTTGTGTACTTAAATATCAACAGTAAATGTCTGACATAAAATGTCCTTAAAGTAAAAGTGAGTGGTTAGAATTTCCAAAGTGAGATTTATTGGGAGGTAACATCCCCCAAAACATTTTTCTAAAGGCCATAATGATTATAAAGTTTTACTAAAATGTGCAGGTGTGATAGATAGTGTATAAACAAGWAGTGTCAGAATGGTACATATTTATATTTCTCATCCAACAACATTTAAATTCACTTTGTCCTGGAAGCTGAGGTGGGTAGAGTACCCAAAAATTGTACTGAAGTAAGAGTAGCCTACTTCAACATATTTTTACTCAAGTAAAAAAAGGCTACTGAAGTACTGAGTAACTGATCAAGACATTTAATATTTAAAAATTACATCAGATGGACCAAAATATAGTTTTAGTCGTCTCTGTGAAAACTTTGGTATTTTAAAGATCAAAATGAAAATAATTCATATAAATAACATAATTACAAAATAACAAATTGAGTCAAAATAAAAAATTTTTCCAAATCAGTTCATTTCAATATAAAATGTATGAAACTAAGAAAAACTGCAGGTGTGTGTCGTGAATTTTTGGTGAAAACAAGTTTGTTCTTCATTCAGTGAAGTTACTCACAGAGTATCCAGAAATTTTACTGATGTAAGAGTAGTGATACATCATAAAAAAATAAAAAAACCTTTTTTTTTTTTTAAAAAGTAAAAAGTGCAGCATAGTAA